TTATGGGTTAGTGGCTACCACTATCTATTGTAAGCAATCAAAATAATGGATGTGAAATGCACTATTTTAGAGTTGGCAACAGTTTTGTCTCTCAACATTGGTTTTACTATTCATCACTTTTACAACTTACAAGGACATTACTTAGCATGATTCATACACTTTCATACTAGCATGATTCGCACACTTTCATACATAGTAAACACCTAACATCAAGGCAGCCTAACATCAATCATAACAAACACCAAAAGACTTCACAAAACATAACTTAATATCCATTAAACTAGGACAACTAAATACCCTCCAAAGATTTGTCTATGCAAACATACATCAAAATAACCCAAAATACTTCAAAATGATCAGTAATTGTTGTATGCCTTTACAAACAGTTAAAATAAACAAAAACAAAGACCTCCTAGATCAACATTTATACACATCATTAACACTTTAAACTCTTATGGAACCCACTTGCCCTTGGATTTGCTTTGCACCTTTTTCTTTGACAATTGTTGAAGTTGATTTCTAGTTGTTGCATCTTTTCCTTTCCATTTCAAACCAGGTGGCTTGAATCCAAGATCAACATTTGTTTGTGATGCATCTTTAAATGATATCCCTGCTCCACTTGAGATAACCCTTTCACTTGATCTTCCTGGCTACATAATTCATAGGGCATTATTTAATATACCTAAATAAAGATGTACGAAAATAAATTAAAGAAGGCAATAAACATACGTTAATCACTTGTCTTTCGGTTTGTATATCTGTGTAAACACCAAATCCCACATCTCTTGTTCTTTTTCTTCCAACTGAAGGAGCTGGTGGCATTCCAACTGAAGACGGTGGTGGTCATTCCAACTGAAGAAGATGATGTCCATGCAGTTGAAGAAGATGGTGCCCTTGCAGTTGGCTGCTTTTTTTTCCTTCCTTTAACCTTTGAAGTATCTGCACATAAAGAAGAGGCATTTCCAGTGCTAGGCTACCTCAATGGTGGTTGTGAAGGCTGCCTCACTGGTGGTTGTTGAAAAGGCCTTGCAGGCTGTTGTGTGGGCTGTTGAGAGGGTTGTAAAGACACTGTCGTGCCCCATTTTTCGCAAAACGGACTTTCCTTTCGGAATGCACGACCTAACAACTCTTTTGGGATTTGGGTGAATTGAAGAGTCGCCACCTAACGAATTAAGGCGCGTTAGGGCACCTGTCTAACCTAAACTAATTCTAGCTAAGGTCAAAGAACCAGAGATCAGGGTAAGGGTTCAAATTACCTCGAGGGGAAGGTGTTAGGCATCCCTCGAAGTCCACAAATGTGGGTCCCGACCGTGTCTCATGCAATATGTGGGGGTTACAAGTAGCAAGTATGGTCACTTCATTTATTATTTATTTAATTAACATGATTGCTAAGTGATAACTAATATTAAATAATTAAGATCAATTTATTTATTTATTATTTAATTAAACATGCAAAACTAAGTGATAACAATATTAAGCAATTAAGGGCACTTAAAGTACTTTAATTAGTTTATCATGCATAACTAGGTGACAACATGAAATTAGCAATTTAGGACATTTTAGTTATTTTAATTAATTAGATAGGCATGCGAGACTAAGTGATAATATAATAAATAAATATTACACAATAAGTAAAGAGATGAGCAAGGGGATAGAAATTTGCACAATTAGATAGAATAAACACTTTTTATTTTTATTAAACTACCCCAAATAATTATAACAAGTAAAGGGAGAAAAGGAAAGGGAGACTCTGAAGGACTTTAGGATCAGCACTCGACTTTCTTTATTTCGATCAGTTTCTTGTAGGGACAGACAAAACTAAGGTTCGTCATTTAGATCGAGTCGATGTCATCATCTCCATAGGGCCTAAACTACCCCTACCCCACCACCGCATGCTTTTCGTTTCTAAGAGGTGCCTAGCGTCCCCGCTTAAGGTTCAAGAGGCATTGAACTACTATTAGGATGGATTTAGACAAAAGAAAGCTCCTAATAGGCCCACCTAGACACCAAGTCAAACACGTTGAACAAGCATTTAGCACATAGGGTCTCATATTGGCCTCTAGATTTTTTTTAACATGCTGGCAAACACAAGTAATGTGAAAGGTCGCATGTGAGTGTATGCACATATAAAAACAGGCAGCAAGCAACACAACAATATAACAGTTAATTAATGAAAGGGCAGATAATTATGATATAAGGCAGATTTTAGTTGTAAACTGATTTTATCGGTGGCAAAGGGTATCACAGATACAAGAAATAAATTTTTTAGAGCAGTAGCAGGTCAACTTATTAATACAAATATTTATTTTAAGTAGCAATCAATTTATTAGATGCATGAATTAATCAGTAGCTGATTCAAGGTGGCAGAATTATTATGCAGAGGTTAATATTTAAAGCAGAGTTGAATTAAGGTAGCAAGTAGCATATGCAATAGATTATTAGTAGCTGATTTTATCCGGGCAGATTAGTAGCATATTGATTAACATACTAGAAAAGGACAATAATTTATTTTATTTATAAGAAAAAGCAAAACAATTAATTATTCTGAGCAGATTTAATCGGGGCTGCAAATATTTAAAGCAGATGCAGAAAATTATTAATTTTCATCTTTTAGGTAAGATTTCATGAAACAGCAGCAGGAAAATGCATAAAAAGTAACTCGGTTATTTAACATGCTAACAATTAATTGATTTATTTTAACTGACCGAAAACAATTGTAATGCAAAAAGTTACCAGCGGGAAATGAATATGCAGAGATTTATCTTAATTTTTAACATGCTAGACTTACTTAATAATACCTAAGAACATGATTTCGAAGTGACTGAAAGGTCAAACATATTGCACAAGCTTAAGAAACATATTGCATAACTCCTATAGGCATGATTTTCTAGAAATCCAAATACATGTAAAATAAAATTAAACCTTATTATCATGATTTCTAAATATGATCATAACAGCAATATCAACATAATTATAGACATGATTTCTACCAAATTGTTATTAACCTTATAGACATGAATTCTAGATTTGTAGAAGCCAACATTCTGACAAAAAAAAACACAAAACTAATTATTGATCAAATAGTAAAATTTGCACTTTCACAACAAACCCGCAAGACGGCTCATAGCGGCTAATTTTATCATTATTGCTATATACTAGGCGTCATGCAATGAGCAATTAATGAGCATTTAAGCAAGCGAGTAATTTTCAAACATTAATTAGACAAGATTAAGCGATTGATCAATAACAATAATTTTATTTTTTGTTTTAGTTGAGATCTAATGAAATTATTAAAACGAACTCTCAAACAATCACAATCCTATAAACATGCTTTTTACCACAAATTACAATAAAATAAATAAGCAAATAGCACATAAACCCCTCCCCCTTGGATGATTCCCAAGTAATTCATATATAGGAGAGTTTAGAGTTATACAAATATTACAAACTGAAATAAATAATAAATACGAATTCGAAATACAAAAAATTAAATAAACTTGTCTCATGGCAACTCTTCAACTTGAACTTCAAGTTCAAAACCTGTTTAACATAATAACACCCAACACGAGATCATAGCATAATAATAACTAATAGATAGAAGACATAAGAGCTATTTACAACAAACACACGAATTTCACCAAGTCATGTAAAATCACACATCGAAATAAGGGATAAGGAAACTAATTGAATGCTTTCTTCTATTTATTTCGACCAAACAATGCAAAAGAAAATAAGATTAAACTAATGAAAGGAACTAACCAGTTATGCAGAATTATTTATCAGCAATGAAGACCCAGTTTGATCCTATACTAGACCCGAACACAGCAAAATCGAGTAAAGCAGCACTTAGAATATTCACCAGAATCTTTCTTGTAAGTAGCGAGTAATATTTTTTAAAGTATTCCACTATATCAATGTGAGAGCAATGTGTGAATATGCAGAGGTGCCCGGATGATCCATTCTAGTAATGAAGGGGGGTCCTATTTATATAGTAGAAGAGGGACATGACAATAAGGAAAGGAGAGTAAATTTTGTTCAGTTAACACATTTTCCTTATTTTGCGTTGAATCAGTAATATTTTATTAAGCTTCATTCAAAACTTAACTAAAATAAACGAGTAAGAATCCCCCTTGATTTAATAAGGGCAACTAATAAATTAATAAATATCCACAACGGCTAGTATTACTAGTACTATAATAATTTTACCATGATTAGAAAGGTAAAAGATCTGTCACAACATGCATAAGGCAAAGAGATCAATTTAAGGTAACATACAAACCAATATTATAAAAATGCACCAAATCCTTAAGGAAAGGAATAATTTAAGATCAATTATATTCCTCATTCACCAAATCAGTAAATTATTTTAAGTTATTTTTTCTCAGTCAAATATAATTTTACTAAAATATAACAAGTAAGAATCAACTAAACTCCAATTACGCCAATTATGATCAATTAGCATTACTAAATAAAATAATAAAGAAAATATAGCTTACCATGAAATCTATCCGGATTAGAACAATACCATAAAAATCACCTCAGTATCAATTAATCAATATTAGGCAAGGATAAAATAATTATATTAAAGGAAGAAAACACAATTCAAGGAGTATTTTATAATATATTCACAACAAGGAAAATAGTAATCTGTCAAGGATCAATCTAAACTCAAGTAGCAAACCCAATATTCAATTTAACATACAAAATTATTACCACTACATGCATCAATTAAAGGGATTAAATGACGTTACAGGAGATAATAAAAAAAAGGCATCTCAAGAATCAGTGATTTCATAACCAACTTATCAATTTTAACTAAGAGATCAACAGTCCAGGTAAATGTTACAAATACAAGGGCGAACTTCCACACAATAAGCTAAGCAAACAAGAACAACAACCACATGAAGGAGACTATACTTCCACTTTCTATCACACATAAACAATCTGAAAGTTTTACCTAGCAGTTCACCTTTAGGACTAAAAATAACTTCTACACCAAACATACTTAGAACTTTCATCACATTACAAATAAGAAGAAGAATAAAATTGCAAAGATGAGATAACGAATTAAAGAAATGTACCTGGACGGATCTGTTAAAGATCCGTCTTTTGACTGGCTTGAAACTTTCAAAAGCACCGCCGGAGTTCGCCTTGTTCACTGGTTCGGAGCTGCTGTCCGGAAATAAGAGAGGGGAGAAGAGGCAGCCGACTGGTTGGAGCTGTCTGCTGCTGATGGAGTTGCTGGCCGGTACCGCTGCTTGGTCGCAGCTGTTGCTGTTGTTGTTGCCGGCTGGAGCTGCTGTCCAGTGGTTGCTGATGGTGGTCCTCGCTAAGCTGCTGCTGTTGGAGCTGGTGTCCTCGCCTGCTGCTGCTCGCGTTGCTGTAGACCGGAGCTGCTGCTGTTGCTGTCACCGGCTGGAGCTGCTGGTGGGAGCAGTTGTTGTTGCTGCTGGCTGAGAGAGGAGAGAACGGAGAAGAGGCGAGGGGAGAGATGGAGGCCAGCGGCTGCCTCTTGGTGGTGGCCATTTTCACCGGAGACGGATGGGAAGGAGAGAGAGAGAGAGGCGGCTGCTAGAGAGGGAGAGAGGAGAGAAAAAATTATTAGGTTAGGGTTGGTGTTTAGATTTGAATAGGGAAAGGGCTAAGGAATTGATCTCATCCGTTGGTTAATTTCGGATGAAGGGTGGAGATTTAAAATGGGAGATGGACGGGTAGGATCAATAGATGAAGCTCTCAAATTTGGGTCCAAAATAGCTATAATTGAAATAACCATTGAATTAAAGAGGCTAGAATCGAAATAATAGGTGGCTAGAATCGAAATACAATTGGAATTGAGTAGGTTAGAATTGAAAAGAATTAGAACAAGGTACGCTAAGATTTAGACAGAATATTTTGCAACTTTTTATTATAAAGTGATTCAACAAACTACCCACAAACAAATAGCACAAGATCAATTCAAAGAACTTCAAAATTTGGTCCTTCTGAAAAAATAGATAATTGTGTTGATTTATTTACAACCTTACTGTCTCAATGAAATTGTATTTTATTCCCTTTTAACATATCTTTTGTCATAAACAAATACTTTTTAGATTTTATCTTATAAAGAAAACAGAGATAAAGATGCAAAAAATAGAATGAAATAAAACATGATTTAATCCAAAGCATGCATGTAATTTTTTTCAATGTCAAACAAACACAATTCTAATCAATTTCATAGGCAAGCTTAGGTGAAATATCATATCTTAGAATCTATTGTTTATTCTATCTCATTTTATATGATAAAAGAATGATACATTTATGTATTTGATAGTCAAGGTCAATTTAAGATTTGAAATTTATGATTTCTAGATTTTAGCCATTTTGAGTTTACTAGGTTCTAAACTTGTGATTTGCAATTCAAAGAGCTTGTGAATCAGCTCATCATACTTAATTATCCCTTTACAGTGACATAAAGTCATTCTACATGATAAAATTGTGAGTTTGCAACATCATTCCCATACGTCCAATTGCACCAAAAACAGAATGACAATCCTGCACAAATGACTGATTGCAAAAAAAGTTGACAAAATTAATCATATCTTCATGATGTTAAATCTTTTGCAGTAACACAGGGCAGTCACACAGGGTAGTAACACAAGACAGTAACACAGGGCAGTTACACAAGACAGTAAGCTGCAATAAATAAACAAAGGCAGAATAAATACCTTTTGCATGTCAAACATGACTGTTATGCCACTTCCATCACCAAGTTGCAAGTCTTCAATGAGATAGCTTAAGAACCAACTCCAAGAGTGTTTAGTTTCTTGATCAACCACTGCCCAAGCTATTGGATACATTTGATTGTTTCCAATTTTTCCAACAGCCACTAATAATTCTCCTCTACAAGCACCCTTCAGAAAGCATCCATCCAATCCTATAATTTTCCTACAACTTTTCAGCCATCCATTTTTCAATGCAGCAAAGCAAACATAGAAATATTTGAACAAGTGTAAGCCAGGGACTGTTTCATTATCAGTTCTAACCCAACAAGAACTCCTAGGATTTGTACTCTTAATCATATCAGCATAGTCTAACAACCTTGAAAACTCAAGCTTCCAATCACCCAAGAACTTGGCAATAACATTCATTTTTGCCCTGTAACATATTGATCTTCCCACTTTTAAGCCCCATTCTTTTTTTAGTGTCTCTTGAAGCTTATGAACTCTCATGTCAGGTTGAGATATTATTCTATCCCTCATCTTCATTTTCACATATTTGGTTGTGCACAACCTGTTCTTATTCTTTGAAATACATCTATGAGTAGGATAGTATTTCTTCACAAAAAAAATTCCAAAATCTTTATCCAAGCTTGCAAAGATTTCCCATTTACACTTCCCTTCACATTTTACCCTAACTCTATGAGGTTTATTGGGCTTAAGCCTTAACTGAACCTTATGTTGCACAGCATAATCAGCAACAGCCTTTCTAAATTGAGTTGCACTCTCAAATATCATCCCCAACTCAAAGAAAGAAACGGATGAAGAAGAATAATACCTCAATTTGTTGCTTTTTCTTCTTGAATGTAGATCAACACCTGGTTGTGCTAGAGCATCTAGCTCCTCATCACTATCTTCACTTGGTTCATCTGATGAATCAATAAACACTTCATCACCTCCCAATTTTCCATTAGATTTGGCTGCCTTATTGGTGAAGATATTCTCAAATCCCTTATCTATGCCAACTTCTCCAAGCTCAACACCTTGATCCTTTGAGAGTTTTTTAGTTCTCTTTTTTTGCTTTGCAGCTTCATTTTTTTGTCTTCCCTAAGTTTTTCTCTAAAAGCTCTCAATTCTTCATCAACTTCACTATCATCCCGATCTGGAACATCATCTAAGTCATCCTCTTCAAAGTTAAGAGAATCATCATTTTCTTCAACTAATGGTTGTTCAACTTCACCTTCCCCATTTATACCATGTTCAGTGTGTGAAACCCTAGAGCAATTTCCCAATTCTTGATTATTATTTTCAACAGAAAATAGTCCCAAAGTAGGTGTAGCAGTGGACCCCCCTTCTTTAACAGTCACATGCTTCAAAAACAACATAAAAAATGACCCACTCCACAAATCTTTAACAAAGTTAAAAAAAGCATCAACTTCATCATATCCAATGTCTTTTGCATACGATTTCAGTTCGGTCAAAGAGAAGTGGTCCTTATCTATGCTAAATACGATGTTTCCCAATTTCGACACATATTGACCTTTATAAATGCGACCTCCATGGTGAAAAATAGCTATAATATGACCCATATGTATAAAGCTGTAAGAAAATAACTAATTTACATTAATGGTGACAAAAAGATTCAACTTTGTATCAAAGATAAACTTTCAAAAGGGCAAATTGAGGCATACCTGAACAGATGAACATCAGCTTCCCCAGAAATCTTGAACGATTTTCCCCCTTTGATTCCCAAATTTTGATTCACTTGCTGACCTAGGGTTTTCACTTTGAGATGATTTTGAATCATGTAGGTGAAATGAACAGATGGAATGTTTTAACCCTTCTATATTAATTGAAATTTATTTATTTATTTTTAGTTCTAAAATTGACATGTGAAATGTTTAATTAGTTGGCAGTCATTGAGTGGCTCACTAATACACGTGGAAGCGTTTGTATTTCACGCTCTTTGGTCCAAAAATCGCGTGTTTATTTATTAAAAGGCTGGATAGTTAAAGTGTCTATTTGTGCACTATGAAAGTTGGAGGTCAAGTTAAAATTTGAAGCCAAGTTTAAGGTCTAATATATGTATTATGCCTTGAATCAATTGGGATGGTAATTCGAGCAAGGATTTTGAGTTTTGATTGAGGAGCAAATTTTGATCATAAAATATAGTAGAAGATATACAAGAATGTATATAAGTGAATTTTGGTGCGTTCAGATATGTCCAGATATATGTATCTCGGAATACATAGAGTTAAAATTAGATGTAATTAGTTTTAAATACTATATAAGTGGATTCTCATGTATATAAGATACATAGACAAACCTTACTCATCTCCTTTTGATCTCGCTCGTCACTCTCATATCTAGCTCGCGTATTTGGTGTCTCAAATATATGTATTTGGTGTGACTCATATGTATCTGTGATACATAGACAAATCTTACTCGTCTCCCTCCTATTCTCGCTTGCCTCTCTCTATTTCAGTATATCTGTTAGCAAAAAATCATGTATCTAAGTTAATTTGACTTAAAATCTGGTATGAAATTATTAAGAGGAAATTACACGAATCAACAAATATATATTAGTTAATTAGTTAACATAGATATAGTTTCCATTAATTACCACTTGTGACTTAATTTTAGCTATAGTTATGTGCGACTCTCTCCTCTCTTCCCCTCTCTCGCTTCTCTCCTCTTTTATACGTATACAAATACATTATACATATATAACACTCTCTAGATATACAAATACAATCATTGAACATATGTATATCAGTTACATATATACAATTATCTACATATATACAAATACAGTTTGTCTTTCTCCACTCTCTGCCTTATCTCGCTCGTCTCTCTCCAGTCTCCGCCCTATCTCGCTCCCTCTTCCAATCTCACTCTCTAGATATACAAATACAATCATTGAACATATGTATATCAGTTACATATATACAATTATCTGACAAATATACAAATACAATTCACATCTCTCCATTCTCTGCCATCTCTTGCTCGCCTCTCTGAATCTCACTCGCTTCTCCCCTCCCTCTAACATGTAGCTACGAATTGCAATCAATAAACTATAGCTATAAAGCCTAATTATGTTTATTTTAATGACTATTTGTGAAATTTCCCCAATTATTAATTAGGGTAGAAATATCTATGTAATTATTAGGTAATTTCTTCATAATTGAATGAGAAAGGCCCAGACAATGCGGGTTTAGCTACTAAATCTGGGCCCATATGAATTTTTGCAGCCCTTCTAAACCCTAACGCTAAACCCTGAAGTCACCCCATTTCCTATAAAAACAACTGGTTCCTCATCGATCCATTCATCTCTCATTTTTCCATGGCTGCTCTGGATCGATTTTTCTACCAGTATTAAGTTTTCCTTCAAATTTCACTTTGTCTTTTATTAATTTGATTTCGTCTTTTTGCTCTTGTTTTGGGAGTTCCTCAGTGATGAACAACACAGATGACGAGTCTGATATCCATTCTTTTAAAAGTATGAAGACGAAACGAGGCATTTGTCTGAGAGGAACTCCAATCTAAATCACCTCCTTTTTTTTTTTCGTTTTTCTATTTTTTGATCGAATTTTCCTTTGAAAACGAATCTGAATGGTTCATATTTTCCCTCAGGTTTCCCATCTTCAAATTTACCTTTTCTTTTTAAGTTTAATCTGCTCTGCAGCATGACGGATGTGTGATCTTTGATAGATCCAAATATTTGTTTTTAAAACAATTAAAAATGCTATGATTTTTAACCTTTTATTAAAAAAAAATCCAATTATTGAGATCCAAAGAATCTGTTTTGGTATTTCTATTGGATGCTTAAACAAAAAATTCCAACAACGTTTTCATCTCTCAATTTATGTTTGAACCATTTGAATTTAATAATTTTGAAGTCTTATTA